GAGCCTCAGCCGCAGATTTCATCATATTGAAGCAGAAAATTAAAACCTCCCGCAAATGACAAGAATTTGGCTCGTAAACTGACATTTTCAATCGAGAATAACTTTATGATGCAGACACAAATCGACTAATGTTTCTTTTTGGATTATGTTGACAGATTCCCAAGTTTATTGTGTGACGTCTATGATCTATTTATTTCGATCACCACTTACCGTTAAAGCCATCTATACGAAAACCGAATGAGCAAAGTCATACGCCTAATAGGTTAGCTATCAGGATGAGGCGCCTGGTAGTCTCGTGCCGTTGCAGATTGACCAAAATGCGATTTACATTAATCACTCAAAACTCTAATCAACTCGTTCGAATGTCTTATTTATATTGAGAGCAAAATTTACTAAATTTTAATAAATAATTGTTTGAATAGGTTAATATAACATTTATTTATGGAAAATAAATATTTGCTAAATAAAATAGTAATAAAAGTATAGAAATTGTTCGTATTATGCAAAAGCAAAAACATAAAAAATCAAGTCAATAATCAAACAAAATTGAGATATATTAGTTAACTAATTAAGATATTTATTATTGTATATAAATGAATGTTTCGTGACTATGGGTCATTTTTTCAGCATAAACAATTAAATCGCTAATATAAAATTATTATATAAATTTTGACATAAAACAAAAAATAGTGTAGGCATTAATGTAATATTGTTGCCGCAAAATGTTGTGCTGGTTTTGAGCTACATGTACATCAAATAATTGTGAATATTGTACATACTGATTGATAGTTGAAAAGTAGATGTCAAATCCTTTATTACAATTGTCAATTGATTGATTCTCAATATTTTGTTGTTGAGCGAAAATTCGGTAAAAATAAAGTCGGTAATGTAAAAGTTGTAGTGTTAATCATCGATAATTTGTTAAGCGAAAATTAGATGCCAATCAGAGTCAATAATGTAAAAATTACGGTTTAGTAGTCTAACAGTATTAAAAAGAAAGAAAAATGTGATATTGATACACAGTTAATTTTGTAAAAAAGAATCAAAATCTTACATCAGAATCTGAGGAGTCAAAGTGAACTATTCCAGATCGATTAAACGCACAAATTCATATGAAAAAACCGGCACTATAAAATAATAATAGGTAAATTAAATTAATGATTCTTGTATCAAATAAATATATATTTACATTTAGTAAATATTCAACTGGTATTATTTAAACAAATATTTATTAAAATTTAGTACATTTTTTTCAGTGTATAGACAAATTGGACAGAATTGAGCCTAACGCCGCTAGGCATATTGATACTTTTTCTTGTTTTTTCCGCAATACACTTGCTCTGATAAAGATGGAATCTGGAAAAGAAGTTCTTACTTTCTTATTAAGATTAGGAGGCTCGTACTGAATGTAGTTCTTAGATATAGGATATTTTTCACTATCGCAGTCTCCGTTGAGATTGGTATGTCGTTTACCTTCTCTTTCTTTTTTATATTACGCTACTTGTTGGAGTGGTAAGAGGAAAAAAGAGAATTGTGGGAGGCGAAAGGTGGGGGAATCGGTCAGTCTTCAATAACCGAGAGAATGGTTTTCCATATTTTTCATATAGAAAAAGATAAAGAACCTTCTCTTGGACAAAACATACAAAAAGCTTGACAAAGATCCAACTACAATCGCGCAGAACACCAACATCCTGGTGAAAAAAGCAACATTCCCAGTAAAATCAAATCAACATTAAAATCTACAAATCCTCTCCCACCAAGACTATACGGACTACCACAAACCTCTAAAACTACTGCTTGTAAGTTTTGATGTAGAATTCCTTTTCAAGTCCCAATAAAAGACACATCAAACATAATAAAAGTCATATAAAGTCCGACCTCATCCCGCTAATAGAGCACTACTTAACAATCACTTACTTCTCCTATAACAACCAATTTTATGAATAAAGGAGCGGCAATGGGTTCTCCTATTTCTCCTGTAACCGCCAACATCTTCATGAAGTATTTTGAGAAAGAGGCTCTCAGGAAAACACTCAAAAAACCAGAAGTTTGGTTCCGTTATGTAGATACGTTATGTAGTATCACATTCGTGATATGGAGACACGGTAGAGCCGAACTCAGTAAATTCCTTATTTTTTTCAACAATCAACATTTAAATGTCCACTGTAGACATAGAGGAAAACAAAAAACTCCCCTTCCTAGATGTTCTTGTCTCTAAGAAAGCTAACGATACCTTAGGCCATCAAGTGTAAGAAAATCAACACACACAAATAGATATCTACATGCCGAATCGCATCACCACCCAGCACAAAAATAGCCTGCAATCAATTCACTTGTACATAGAGCTTTCACCATCTCTGAAAAAGAACATCTACAGACAGAACTCAATCACTTAAAATTAGCCTTACAGAAAAACAGACACGACAAAAAGACATCATCAATCAATCAATAAATAATAATTAATATAATCATCAAAACAATCAATAAACATGCAAACAAGACAATGGTTTCTGACACACAATCAGACGAAAGGATCCTATCCATTCTCCCATATGTCAAAGGAACAACAGATCTGATTGGCAGGATATTAAACTAATAGAATATCCGAACTCTTCAAATTATCCAAAAGATAGCACAAATCCTAAGAAATTCTAAAGATCATAGACTTCCACTCAGCTCCGCAGGAGTATACAAAATAGCTTGTTCTTGCGGGCAAGTATATATTGGAGAAACTGGGAGAATCAACCTATGAATAAAGGAACACCAAGTTGATGTCAGGCTAAAACACGTCACGCAATCAACATTATCAGAACACAACATCGAAACAGGACATCAAATACTGTTTGACAAAACGACCACAATAGTCAACATTACATCATACTTTTCAAGAAAGTATAGAGAAGCCATAGAGTTACAAAAACATCCTAACAATCTAAATAGAGATAATGGCTACAACATAAATAAAATATGGAAAACAATTCTCCCGATTATTAAAGACTGACCGATTTCCCCATCTTCTCCCTTCCTCACAATTCTCTTTTTCCCCCTTATCACTCCAACAAGTAGCGTAATATAAAAAAGAAACGACCGGAAGGAACAGCTCAGTATCAGGCTGTTCCTCGTCCTAATGAAGTGGACTGCAAGGTTCACGAAACATTGGCATTCCAAGAATGGATCTTGACACGGAGGAAACCTGCGAAACGCATAATCTGTAAGAAAGCACTCGCGGAAGTCTCAAGAATATTAGTTATATTTATTGTTTTGTATGGATTGAGGGAATTTCCTGTGATTTTCCTTAAGGGAAAAATGATTCCTCCTTTCCACGATGATCAGCGTAATGCAGTGATTGCTCATATATTATATGAATTTCGACATTTACCTGGTTGGACTGTTAACGTTGTGACCGACTTGTTGAAAGACTTTCTAATCTGATACTCGAATAGCTTCGAGAACGTTGTCTATCTGAAATTGCTTGTCTGGCTTTGCTGTGAACTTCTTGCAGACAGCGAACTTGAATTAGTACTATTACTTAAAATAGAACAAGGGGAAAAATCTGTAGATTCTTCATCCTGGATATGAAAGTAAATGATAGCACTTTTAGTAAATCATTGGCTATACCGAACCAATGAGAACTTTTAGCCATCTGGACTAAACAGTGACTTGTACCGTTCTCATGTCGATGTGGGACGTCTTATTCTCCAGAGAAGCTTGTCCAACTTTGTCACTTATGTACAAGTTAGGCAAGTACTTGACTTTTTTTTGATAAGGTAGGAGAAATGGCGCGAGAATGGACTGAAGGTTATGCGGGACTCATACTCACTAAAATCTCCGCCGGCGTCCTAACACAGGTCGTGTTAGAGGTGGTCGCATTGGGACCATGTGCATAACTACCAGTGAGATCCCCGGCCTGCTGGCCCTATTGCTGGGTCCTAGCCGCGAGAGTCCAAGTCTGTGAGGCCGTTACCTACTTCAGGGCGGGCGGATATCGCCCCGGGAGCTCCACGCCACCTCTCGTGGGTCGGAGTCGGGTTCCCGATTCATGATCCTTTTTCCTCGCCAGGCGTAAAAGCGCACAGCGCTGCCTTCGCACTGGTTCCTACCAAAGCCGCGGAGAAAAGATGTAAACCTCTTACCGAGGTTTGTAGGGGGGAGCGGGAAGTTCAGTTTCGTTCCCAATTTTCCCGTCGCCAGCATCACTGCACGATGATCTGGCGACTTGGCGATGATGTAGTTTGGTGATTGGGCCTCCAGACTTCATTGTGAAGGGGACGATTGCCCTTTTTCACTTTTTCGATCTTCTTCTTTCTGAGGATCACTTGCTCACAGAAAGAAGAGATTGCTCTTCACGATCTCTCACTCCGCACCATGGCTTACATTACACCACGGCTGAGAGTAAGAGGTCGTCTCCCATCTCTTCGATTAGGATATCGCGCTCCATGTCCTAGGCGAGGCATTTCTTTAGGATATGCTGAAGGTGCCCAGATACTGCGCAATGATAACATTGGGTGGTACGCTTTTCAGCAATACGACATAGGTACTCACCGGAACATTTGTGACTGGTAAGCACCTGTGTCAGCCAGTAGGTCAGCCCGCCATGCGCTGTCTATCCAGTCGCGGAGACAGGGTACAATGGCCCCGACAGTTTGATTGGCGGTGAATTGCGCATTTAAGAGGACTCATCCATAATAATCTCTCACTGTCTCCCTCCATGCGCCCATCATTCGTGGCCCACCAGGCGACACCACCATATGGTAAACGTCGACCCGTTTTCTGTCCAGAAGATCAGCGGGCGATACGGTGGCCACGGCGTGCGACACCGTCCTATATTCTCTGACGATGTGTAGAACCAGTCGCCGTTGGACGTGAAACAGTGTCTGATTAATAACTAATCGTCGCCTCCGCATCCCATACCAGGGTTCCGTAAAGGAGTTTCGCTAGGACGATGTGCATATACATCCGACGGATGTCAAAGATTCTCAGCTGGGTGTGCATATACTTCTCGGATATCATATCATTCTTGTTGTTTAACAAACGTTTGACAAGGATGACATGACATCCAAGGAGAACTCTGATGAAAATCAGAACGCACCTCAACAAACGCGACTCATTGTTAGTCTAACAATAATTTCATCCTTGTTTAACATTGATAAATAACAACAATGTAATGATACACTGTGTTCTATCACGGATTGAACGCAGCGGTTTTCTGGCGGCGGAGCATCTCCTAGGCGGTTGCACTTGTAGCGAAGCGTTGATTCTAATCGAGAACAGCAAAGAAAGAGAGAAGAGAATCATTGTTGTCTTCATTGATTTTGCCTTTTATCCTCTTTGAAGAACAAAGGCTTCCCTTTGTATTCGCCTATGAGATTCTCGCAAAATTGAAAAATCTGAGGTGACCCTCTGTTTCGAGCGCGATGGTCAAGCGGTACGCTATTGCCCGCTAAATCTGGAATCTTGATTGGGATGTACGCATATTACGCGTTTTGCGTCATGCGAGCACGCGTGCGCTGCGACCGATCTGAGTTAGCTCGCCGTTATAGCGGTTGAGATTTGTGTACGTACGACATGCAGCTTAGCTTATGTTTTTCGACTTTATTGACGAGGTGATGGCCAAGTTTATGTTTTGGAAACCTCTAAAGACACTTGGAATCCTTCTAAAAGCTTCCGATCCGCATGTCGCACGTACGCAAATCTGCAAAAACTGTGTTAACTGTATCTCGAACACACTGTGTCCATACATTAAACTGCGATAATAATTAATATATATGATGTTATAATAATAGAAGAATTTCAAGCTAATTGAAATGTTTATTGATCTTTGGTAAACATAATTTTTTTATTTTTGACATAAATTGAACTATTGAAAATTTATGTATTTGAGACTATTAGATTTGGAAGGTAGAATTTAAGATATAGAAAAAATAGAATTTAATATCTCTTTTGTGCAATATAAAATATGAAAATATTCACGAAATATGAATGTTATCTTTTTTACAATTTATTATATTTTTTTACAATTTATATTTATTATATGTATGTTTATTATCTTGCATTTAATTGTTCTGCGTGTATAAACCGTGTGTATTTTTGCTACTCTATGTTTGTAACTAAAAATGATGATGCTTTAAAATGTAAGAAATACATACATGCCTATTTTTGCTGTGCATTATACTCTATTCATGACCTATCTATGAGAGGAGGTCGCCACTACGTTAAATGGTTCATTAATGTAGTGACCGAAAGTATTCTTCCATAAAATAATATTTTTATCTCTTACATATTGCTTGATTTTATTATCTTGACAATAAGCTCTCATGCATGTTAAATTTATAAATGAGATTTGTTATTGATAGATATTGTTTATTACTTTAATTATTAATGTAATTTAGTTTATAATTTTTAAATTCAATGTGTTTACTTTTGTGAATGCAATGTGTTATGAATAATACATATATCAAATCAAGTTTTTAAATTATTTACATTGGTTCACTTTTCTATAACATTTTTTTTTACATTTGAATAATTGAAGGTAATTATGCATAGGGGCGATCTCACAGATTTCAGAGACCTTAAAGCTTGTTGTCAACATCATGATTCCGAGTGACCTCCAATAGGTTTTAGTCTCTCGTTATTCATTAAAAAGTTATTAACAAAATAAGTTCAAGAAATAACGTCTCTTTTCTATTACATAAAACAAAAATTTTGTTTTAAAATAAATTTCCTGCTTAAAAAGCAAAAATTTTCTTTGAAAACTTATCTTTCCATATAATTTCTGTTGTTAAAGCAGAAAATTTTTTATTTTGTAATGATTACGCGAAATGAGAGCCACCCTACATTTTTCTCCTGTCTAAATGGAAAAAAATTTGAAATAACTGCGACTCCTCAGCGATGAAGCTATACCAACTCACTACAAGCGATTGCATTGAATCCAGTGTGGAGCTGTCACGGCTCTAACTTGGCAATGATACGGTTCGACTTTTCGCAAGTTCTTCTAACCATTTAATGAAGCGTGCATGCTCCACAGACGCGACAGATAACGATATATATCGCATCGCATCATGTATTTCATTCATACGAGTGAAAACCACATCACTCTTGGAGTCGGGACAACTTATTCAGCGCAGTGTTACAAGATTTATAGAACAAATTCACGCATACGCGCTAGCGCAGCATAAGCCGCCATCAGTGGCGTACACATATTTTACTATTATCGTTATGCTCCTCTTACAAAAATATAGAATGTGATATTAATGCATCAGAGATTTTATACAATCAATGTGAACAAGAATGAATCAATCTTATGAACAAGAGAAAGAGAACATATATAAACATATTTTATATAATTACATATAATTATATTTAAATACATATTTATATTTAATTTCGTATAAATCTTTTTTTACAGAGTACCAATAAGTTTATTTATTCCAAATGATATAAAATTATTAAACTTTTATGTAGATAATATTTAGTGTTCGGGGAGCGCTGATAGCGCTATTTGTATCATTCTATCATTCAATTAATATATGTTTAATATATTGCACTTAATGTATCAACATTTTCTACAGCATTAATATTAATATTGATTAAAGATATAAAAAATGCATCCGGGCGCTAAGAAATGTTCTATAATGAATTTGAATACGAATGTGTCGAAATCAAGTCACGTAGTCTATGACCTAGTGTTCGCAGATAGGTACGTCTATTAAGCTGGCACAGCCACTTCATTACAATCAAATGCAATCGATATCATTTTTTGCTAATTTTTTGCTCTATTTCTGATTTTTTTGCTCCAACCGATTCGCTAAAATCCATGGCTAGCTTAAGATTAAAGTTAGCATAATCACAAAGAAAAAAAGTAGCAAATGAAAAATCAAGTACATATTCTTGAAAGGCTATTTTTTTGTTAATTTTTTGCTCTATTCCCGATTTTTTTCTTTATCGTTTAAGATAAAAATTTCAACAAAGAATGTGGTTGGCTCGGGTACAAGAGTAAAGTATCTTAAAGTAATTAATTGCTGGACTCATTTCGATCTTAAAATGTAGAATTAATTGCTCTAAGAATATCCCAAATCGGAAATTTTTGCTCAATGTTAAAGTCGAAAAATTCGATCAAGAGTAACTGTGCTGGTTCGTATACAAGAGTAGAGTACCTTAAAGCAATTAATTGCAGGGCTAATTTTGGTCTTAAAATGTTTGTAGAATTAATTTCTTCAAGGTACTATTCTTGTACATGAGCAAAAAAATCGGGAATAGAACAAAAAATTAGCACAAAAATAGCCCTTCAAGAATATGTACTTGATTTTTTATTTGCTGCTTTTTTTCTTTGTGACTGTGCTAACTTTAGTCTTAAGTTGGCACAATCATGGATTTTAGCAAATCAGCTGGAGCAAACAAATCGGGAATAGAGCAAAAAAAAATAGCAAAAAAATGTATTATGTTGTAGCAAAAATGGTATTGGTCGCGTTTGATTGAGTTGAAGTGTCAGCTTAATAGACGTCAGATAGATTCCGCCAGGATTTATTCCATGAATTTTGTAGTACTGCTCCAGCGTGAGCGCTACGGAGTCGGCATGCATCCAACTTCAGTTTAGATAGGATACCACGGAGTAATAAGAAGGAGACTAAACTCAAGCAGCCGAAAAAAATGGACTCGAAACATGGTGTCGGAACGCTATATTGAAGAACAATTTGAGCGCTCTTGTTGGAGAAAACTGTCAATTTAGAAGATTTGATAAATATTTTTCCTTCCATTTTCCTGTAATTCTGTAAATTTATGTATTTTCATGTGTAGAATATATTCTGAGAAGGAAAGTTGTCATTCAAGACCCGTTTTTATTCTTTTTAATTTCAAAGTTTTTTGATGTCGATAAGTTGAAAGATGATTTAATGATAATTTATGACTATGCATAAACGTATATACTTGTATTTTTTAATAAATTTGATACATTTATTATTTAATCAAATAAAATTTTATACAAATTAGAATTTCTGTATTAAAAATAAAACATGCATATATGTGTATTCCGTACGCGTTATCATGTGGTATATACTTTTCTCGCAACAGCACTAAAATCATATCGTCTCGATTTTCCATGGATTTTCCAATACCGTGGTTCAAGCTCATTTTTATCCTCGAGTTTGGTCTTCTTATTACTCCGTGTAGAGTACTATATAAAGCAGAAATGTGCATCCGCCATATTGGCTTCTAATTAGTGTGGGAAAATTCTTCTTAATATTAAATATATAAACCTTGATCTTGAATGTTTCCATTAATGGTTTGAGTCTTCATCAGCAATCTTTTCCCCTAACACAACGTGATTATTTCATTACAAAATAATATCTGCAACGTTTCTCCTGTCAAAAAATTGAATCGTTAACGTTATGAGGTAAATCATATACTCACAAAGTTAGAAAGCTGAATGGCAATGAGGACTCAAGCTCACACAGTCGCCTTCGGCGCGCCGAGAGCACATGTACATGGGTTCGTGCCTGTGTGTGTGGCTATCGGTTTCGCCAGGCCGCCGTATGATTTTGTGTCGCCACCGTCAATGCAGAGTTCTTGGTTGAGTACTCAGGAGCCTTAATATCTGGTTTTGAAAAATACGCCAACTGCCAGGAGCTAACATGGCGGATGCATATTCCCATGTAGTTCCTTAGTTTAGAGTCCTCCCTCCCCTCATTTCGATTGTTTCATATTGGTACGATTACGATCATCGAACTGAACTCACTCGAACACTGATACTATCAGAGTCTCAAATTTTTTCTTGTGTAAAGGCACACGACTTTCCACAAGAAGCAAGTTCCACTTCCCCTCCTGCCAAGAGGCGTTCGATTTTTCATGCGAAGCGAGTTTCACTCTATCTTCCTTTTTGACTAGGGACGTACTACTTTCTATGTGAAGCGAGTTTCACCATCTCCTTCCTGTTTAGGGGCGCACAACTTTTCACGCGAAATGGGTTTCACTCCACCTTTTTTTCTGCCAAAGAGCATCCTCGCAAAACGAGGTCCATCCCGCCCCCCCCTCCTGCGCAGAACTCGTTTTACGTAAAAAGTTGGACGCATCTTGGCAGGAAGGGGAGAAGGTAAAATCAAACTATTTTGCATGGAAAGTCGGACGCCCCTTCGCAGGGGAAGAGGTGGGGTGGTACTAGCTTCTCATGGAAAGTCATGTGTCCCTAGGCAGGAGAGTTTTATTTTAAAACAAAGAATTTTTGTTTTATGCAATAGAAAAGTTATTTCTTAAACTTATTTTGTTAATAATTTTTAAATGAATAACAAGCGACGGCTAAACCTTGTCAAGTCATAAACTTGACAATATATGTGAAGATTTGAATTCTGTAAGATCGTCGTTAGTATGCATAATTACTTAATTGACTATCTTAATTGATTGATTTTATTTTTATAATCCGAATTTTTTCAAATTTCATTGAATTGTTCTAGATGGCTGGCAAACCAAATCTGGCATTATACTCTCAAAATCAATTAGACTATATGTGTGCTCTGGATATCAATAGTCAAGTATCTTTTGTCCGTTTATCTGGTATCATTTGTACAATCGGTCCTGTATCCAGATCTGTGGAGATTTTAGAAAAAATGATTGAGACAGGAATGAATATTGCTCGATTGAACTTCTCTCATGGGTCTCACGAATATCATGCTGAGACTATCGCTAATGTTCGCCAGGCACAAAAGAATTTAACCACCCGTGCCGGTATCAATATTCCTGTTGCTATTGCTCTTGACACAAAGGGTCCTGAAATCCGTACCGGTCTTTTAGAAGGCGTACGTTATTAATATATCTAAAATGCAAGAATTAATTCTTATATGGTAATATTTAAAATTTATTATATTATTTTAACAGGATCGCTCGGCTGAAGTTGAGTTAATTAAAGGCCAGACTTTTAAACTATCTACTGACAAGGCATATATAGAGAAAGGAAATGCTCAAGTTATGTACGTTGATTACGAAAATATCTCAAAGATATTAAAGACGGGCAATCGCATATTCGTGGACGATGGTTTGATTTCTCTCATTGTTTCCGCTATCAGTAAGTACATTTATGTCTATGCGTGCGTGCGTGTCTTTGAGAATATAAAATTGAAATGTTACATGTGATACGTTTCTGACTATGTAATAGCATTTTTTGATTATTTTAGCTTCAATTTTTTTTATCAGCTGTTTTTGTGCATTTTGATAATGAGAAATGTTAATATGTATAACAATAAGTACGAAAAATATATAGAATTACCTCATTTATCCATTTTTTAGGTTCTAATTTAATCTCTACGACTGTTGAAAATGGTGGTATGTTGGGTTCGTGCAAAGGTGTGAATTTACCAGGAGTACTAGTGGATCTTCCAGCAGTGTCGGAAAAAGATAAATGTGATCTTCAGTTTGGTGTTGAACACGAAGTCGATATGATATTCGCTTCCTTTATTAGAAACGCTGCTGCATTAACTGAGATTCGTGATATTCTCGGTGAAAAGGGTAAAAACATCAAAATTATATCGAAGATCGAAAATCAACAGGGTATAACGAATCTTGATGAGATTATCGATGCATCCGATGGTATCATGGTAGCACGTGGTGACTTGGGAATAGAAATACCACCGCAGAAGGTATTCCTGGCACAGAAGCGTATGATTAGCAGATGTAACAAAGTTGGCAAACCAGTAATTTGTGCTACGCAAATGTTGGAGTCTATGATAAAAAAACCACGTGCTACGAGAGCCGAAACTTCAGATGTTGCTAATGCCATTCTCGATGGTGCTGATTGTGTTATGTTGTCAGGTAATTTATTTTGATATATTATATTAGTATTAGAAAAATGAATGTATAATAAAACAAAATAATATTAAGAAAAAAATGTTACAAAAATTCTCAAAACAAAAATTAAAAATTCAACAAAATAAAAAATGGGCTAATCGAAATAAGAGCTGTAGGTAATGCGTAATTAAAAGGTTTAATTTCTTAATCCATAACACGAATGACATTAAATTAAAATCTGTACATGTTTCGGCTAATTTTATTATTAACCTTCTTCCAACACTTAATATGAACAATTATAGTAGTAGGTATACATGAAATCCGCTTGAAATCCGCCAATTTTAAACAAGCATTGCTTGTCATGAAGTTGTCAATCACTCTCCTATAAAGAATAAAAACTCGCGCCAGTTTGAAAGCTGGATGATACCGAATAACTAAATATCTTAAATGTCAATTTAATATTAAACAACTCAAAATTAAGTATTCATAATCATAAGAAATTTTCTTATCCGAACAAAATTAATGCATGATTATAACAGAACTAATATTTAATATGAATCATTTGGGATAAACTTCTGAAAACGTCTGATTGCCTTGAATTTTGGCAGAAGTACTCCAAATGATGTCAAATGAATGCCCGTGTGAGACAAAACTGGATTTTCACCGATAAGAACGCTAAAAATGTAAATTTAAATAAAATTATACCACCTAAACGGATTTCCTTTATACAGCTCATTTCAAGTCCGAGTAACCTTGATGTTGACCTCTTGATCTCCAAAAAGATCTATCCTTTCGTGCGCCTTTCTGCAGGGAGGGGGTAGATGGGATAGACCTCGTGGAAAGTTATGCACTCCGAAACAGGGAGAAGATGGAATGAAACTTGTTTCGCGTAGAAAGATTTATGTTTCTTGGGCAGGAGGTTAGGTGAAACTCACTTCGCGTAGAAAGTTCTGTGCCCCTAGACACGAAGGCAACATTTATGAAATTCCATTCCAACGATAACTTTATATAAACATTTTATATTAAACTTTTGGTGAAAATCCATCTAAGGACATTGTGCGAGAGCGAACCAGAGCGAGAGCGCTGATCGTGAAATTTTTAAAGTGATGCGGCGTTTGTCTTACTGTCTTTCTCGCTAGTTTAAATCCGGCTCGAAGGACCAGAAAATGTGCGAGAATGCACCGCGCGGAAAGATTCAAGTGAGAGAACGGCACAAGGTGATGTGATGCACGACAGTGAAGAGAACTCCGTTTCATTTAATTTAACAAAAGAATTTTCTTTAATATAATCAGTTACAGAGTCAAAAAATATAATTAATTAAATATTAACAAAATATCAAATGCAGCCACCGTTTCCAAAATTGTATTCGGAATCGCGGTGATGGAAAATCTCGGCGATTTTCTCGGAAAAATTCGTTTTATCGCGATTTCACTAAGCGGTTAGCACGGCGATTTCACGAAGCGGTATAGTAGCGAGACTATGATTCTAAGAACTCGAAGAGGCTTTCTTCTTGAGAGAAATCCAATTAAATTTTGCCACAATCGTAATTATCACGTGGCATTGGTTGTACAAAATTGATTGGCGCTTTCGATTCTTTTCTAGCGACGTTCAACGTAACAGTCATGCGCGACAGAAAATCCGTACGCGGGATTGGTGACAGCGCGTGACGTATTCGTTTGAGCGCGGCGCTCGCGTGCGCGAATCGAATTGTTCTAGAACTTTCGATGTTCCGTTGCCGGTGCCTGTTTGCGTGTACCGAATTGTTTTGAAAAGGCTAAAGAACAATGAATCCTTGACTTTGACGAGGCTTAATGTCAGGCTCGAGATGAAATCACGAGCTCGCCTTGTGCGTGCGTTCAATAACAATTACTGTCGGTCGACCGAAGGAATTCTTACCTTTTTTTTTCGAATTACCGATCTCGAACAGACATTATTTGAAATATTTCTACCAAAATTCGTGGCAATCGAGCGTTGGACGTTTTCGGAAATTTATCCATCATTTGTATAATACTAAAACTTGAAAAATATTTGTAATGAATTAAGAATATATGTCGCAAAGATGTTGTTGATACTGTGTCAAAATTCAAATTGCAAATGTATACTGATACCATGTAACAAGTAAAACCCAAGTGTGTAGTACTTTATTTTATTTTCATTATTTATTGAATTTTATTGATATGTATCATTTGTATAAAAGATATGATAACAACTGGCGCCAAATTAAATTCTACCAAATTAAGAAATAAAATCCGAATGGTACCATCTTTATTATTTTAAATTCAGTAAAAAATCGGTTCAAATAATTAAAATAATGAATATATATAATATGAAAAGGCTACGAACTAAGCTGGATGTTTTGTGTTAATAACTTTTATATAAGCAAGTAATCTATATTGACAATGTTTAACATACGTACAGTAAAGAACAAAAGCAAAGAAATAAATATATAAAATTATGCAAATTCCATGACTCGAGTAACTAAGCTACAAAAAAATAATCGATCTTCCTAGGAAAAAGACTTACCACATTCCGAGACGATGACCTCTTTTGAAACTGATAATCTAATATTAAAAGAAAAATACAAGACCTCTAAGCAAGTAATTAATAACGGAGACAAAGATAAAAGTCTTATCTTTCCAGAATTTTCCTAAAAATCTTCCAAAAAATCACCCTCTTCCAAGCTCAGCTCAGCTACATATAAAATGAACGTCGAAACATTAACATAACGAACGCAATCAACAGCCATATTAAATTCCATTTATATTACCGATAGATTTTAATAGTTAATTTCATTTTATTGACTGTGCCGCAATGATGGCGCACAAATTCTGATTCCCTCACACAGTGAGGAAAGCCTAAATTCTTGGAATTCATTCATTGTGTAAAAAAATGAAATATCGAATATTAATCTTTAAATAGTGAAAATATTTAGTTAAGTATATACATTTTTCTTTTTTTAATATTATATGCCATTTAGTTAAATGGAAAAATAGTTGCAATCATCTAATTTCAAACATTTTTAAGTATTTTTAAAAGTAGTTTTAGTAAAATATGGAATACTGTTCAATATAAATTTATTACAAATAAATAAATTTTCTTTTAACAATCACTTTCTGTTATACCACTTTCGTCTTATTGAGTACTATACTTTCTCGAATAATGAACTGAAAATAGTCACTTTTAGATCTCTTACCTTGTTTTCGCATTTTATTAACAAAATGCTAAAAATCTGATTTTTAATCATGATTTAAAAAAAAACGCCCATCAGTGCCAGAAAAAATTTAAATTGGAAGTTAAAGTACATATTTTGAAAAATAAAAATTCATCCATATTAATTGCATTTACGCGCCCTTTATCCAGAAAAACGTTTTTAAAATTGCGAAGTTTTTGGTTTGTCAATAGCAAATTTTACACCATGTTATGACCGGATACCGATTAATCTTCGAATAATTTTAACAAACATTTTTTAAATGTAAAAAAGTCATCACATACGATAGGTAGCTATCGATGTCGTGCGCATTCATTTTATCTACTACAAGTTTTGGGGAAATATCTTTAAACTTCTGAAACAACTTTTAGCCTTCGTTTAAATAAAACCCTACGATAATCGAGTTTTACATTTACATACAACTCTATATATACTTTAAATAGTTGGAAAAAAGTTCGTAGCATTTTTCTCACTAGATGGCATTAAAGCAGTAGCTACTAATCGCATCGACAACACTAGACGTGCGTTTAAAAAGTGACATTTCAATCTTTGTTTTGAGCCAAAAAAGATTGAAGTCGGTGAAGTGGATCAAAAGTTATTTTATTTTGAAAATGGCAATAAATAAGGAAAAAATTCGCTACATTTTGCAGTATTATTACGATAAAGACAAGAACGCTGCACAAGCTTGTAAAAAATTTGTGATTTACGATGAAGATACTCTATCAAAATCAGCAGCACGGAAATGGTTCGCTCGTTTTCATACTGGAAATTTCGATGTAAAAGATGAACCTCGCTCCGGTCGATCAATCACTGAAAAGTCCGATGAAATCATGGAAAAAGTCGAGCGTGATAAGCATATGAGCACTGTGGAGATTGCCAGGGAACTAGGTATCGACCACAAAACAGTTTTAAATTATTTACACAAAGCTGGATACAAAAAGAAGCTCGATATTTGGGTTCTTCACGAGTTGAATATTAAGAATATGATGGATCGAATTAACATTTGCTATACACTATTGAAACGGAATTGAGCCATTTCTGAAGAGAATGATAACTGATTATGAAAAATGGATCACATACGACAATCGAACTCGCAAAAAATCGTGGATAAGGGAAGGAGAGAAGGCACAAACAATCGCAAAACCTGGATTGACGAAAAAGGTGATATTGTGTGTGTGATGGGATTGGAAGGGAATCGTTCATTATGAACTGTTATCGCCCAATCAAACAATTAATTCCGAACTTTACTGTGAACAATTGGAGAGATTACAACAAGCAATTGAGAGAAAGCGGCCAGAATTAATTAATAGGAGAGGTGTCGTCTTCCATCACGACAACGCTCGACCACACACATCTTTGATAACTCGACAAAAATTGCGAGAGCTTGGCTGGGAAGTCTTAATGCATCCGTTCTGACATAGCACTCTCAGACTATCATTTGTTTAGGTCTCTGCAGAACTCTCTTAATGGTGTAAAGCTGACTTCAAAAGAGACTTAAAAATCACTTGAAGCAGTTTTTCGACTAGAAATCACAAAAGTTCTATCGCGATGGGATTATGGCTCTGCCCCAAAAATGGCAAAATATTAAATTTAAATGGCATATTTGATTTAAATAAATTGATTTTAATACTCTAAGAAAAACATTCGAATTTTACTAAAAAATCGCCACGAACTTTTTCCCACATCCAATATTTCCATTTGTTTTTTATCTATTTCTCATATGTTAAACAATTAAAATAATTGAAATTGATTAACGAAAAATTTGACAATAAAACAAATATCAACAATGAATTGCAATTTTATATATCAGAATTTTCATACGTATGTGTG